AAGTTCTGTTTTAATAATGGTACATAATCTTGCATGTGCTTAGAAATCAGCTGCATAAAGGAATCTTGCGCGGAAAATTCTTGCACTCTTTCCTAACATGAATATGTCAGTTGTGATCACTGGAAATAGCACACAAAGTTTCACGCATGAAGATTCGGTTTCTGAAGAGAAACAAACGTACAAAAACTACACGTTATGGACCATCGAAGGACCAGGAGGCAGAGCCAGGCGAGGCATGGAAAGAAGACGGCGTTTGGCCGGCTACGTACCAGGCGACGCAATGAGAGAATCGGGTTAAAGCGCGCGATTTCGGAGAGTGGAGACAAATCGATCGATGGAATAGGATGGAGTAGAAGTGTAAGATGTGAATGCAACGAAGCAGAAGGCCAGAAAGAGCTTCTAGTGAATGCACTCCAAGAACCAAGTTTGAGCATCCCCGTCGCCAGCATTCGTGAAAGACGTCCGTGGGCAATTCGAACGCGTAGCAGCCTTTTCGAGTTTTCGAATTTCTAATCAAAACGAAAATGCACCAGATGTGAAGGAATTTGGAGATTTCATTTGTCAAAAAAGATTTTTAGCTGGATTCCCCGGAAAGAAACATTTTTCTTCACTGACAGCCGGCCAATGTTTGTGGAAGGTGCGAGCGACGAAGTTCACCGCAACACATGCGGTTAGGAACTTACACTTTGATAGTCCCTTGGAAAACCCGCTGATTTCTTGATGTTATCATGGCCCTATCCCATGAATGATTCTTCCTTCTCAAGACCTATTGCCCTGTCCTTTGCCAAAAACCTAATGTACATTAACTTGCTTATTTTTTCCAACCAAATGGGAAAGAGTGTTACAACCATGATGAGAGAATGTTACAATCATAATCTCTACAAGAAAATGACACAATTCCCTTGAATTGCTAAGAAGGTCCAAAGAAAAATAATGAATAATACTTATTAACGATCTGGTAACGATAATATCTTTCTGTAACAGGACCGCTAAATCAATGCAATGACCGTTAAGAGAATGACCTTTCTCTTATAGAGCCCTTTCATAAGCAAAAACCTTCCTGGTGTTCGTAAAGTTCATTTCAGAGATACGTGTGGGTTGTGGCAGCCGTCAGGAATTCAGCGGCATTGCAAAAAATCCGTCAAAAAAGGTCTTATCAGTGTGTTGTAGAAAAGTTCATCTGTTCGCACCTCTCTTGATTTTAGGTGATATCAGTGAAGAAAAACTGTCCTATTTCAGGACAGAGGCATATTTATTTATTTATTTATTTATTTAGATAGCAATCTAACTACATTTTTTGTAATGAAGATATTTCCTAATCTCTTCACTTCTTCACACTGCCAACGCCGCTTCCGTGAAGCCCTTGTCATCTGAAAATTGCAGCAGGTCCTCCCAGAAAGCAGGATGAACCTTCCCTATAGGTAATCAAGTTCTCCAAACAGGCACACGAGGTCGTTCCGGTCGAGTTATGTATGCCGTTCGTAAGTGCGCCAGAAATATATCGTTTATCCGTTATCGACTACGAGACGGGATCGACTACTCGACCCTATCATCCCATTTTTCGCCATCAGCTCATTTTGTTTTCGCCTTGCGGACAAGTGTAGGTAGACCCCCGTACTCCCACCTCTCAGCGCACGCACGCCGTTACGTCAAACCCATCCCTGCATGGGGACATGACATCTTCCGGTTGTCTACTACTCACTTCCTTTATATTCACATTATTTTTCACTACTTGTTCACTGGAAGAAGCTTCGGGTTGGATCCCACTAGCGGAGAATGGCAGCACGTTCAACGAGATCTCCGGCTCTGGAGAGGATTTATTGGGTAAGCAAAGGCGTTTCTCCACTATAAGGTTACGATATAATGATGAATATAATTGTCGTGCTTCCGCCCTAGTTCAAAAGTGTTCTCTAAATGAGAGATTCTCGACGTACTTCCTTAGAATGCAGTCCTCTGAACCCCCTGAGCTACCCGGTCCGTAGAA